TCAAAAGTCACTGAATTAAAATCATTTTAAGATGCTAGAAATGTATATATTTTATCACTTAATCTTCTGGATTCAAATAATAATGAAGTAGTTTGATCTCATATGCTCTCATCCGGATATTTTGTAGATGATGTGATTAACTCAGACACCTTAGTCTTATTATCAACAGATCTTGGGAGAAACAAAAAAACATTCTATCAGTTTTCACTAAAAGAACAAAAGAAATATCCTCAGTAATGTGATTTTAGCTGTAAAGCAGTGTATTATGTACAACATGTTAAAGGGAAATTTTGTCGATATCTCAAAACATCTGCCTAATTCAATTGCTGAGATGTGAACAAAGTCATTCAGAGTGGTTTGATGTGAATTGGTTCAATGTTGAGACATTTACTGACTCAGATTTCTTCACAGTGGTGCTGATAGGAACCAGGAGTTAATATGTAATGTTGATAATAGTAAAATAGTGGAAAATCTGACAGAATAGGTTTTCTTTGTGGGCTATTTTACCTTACAACGTTCTTCATGTGCCTCTCAGCTATGAAAGGATTTCAAAAAAGTATGTTTTAGTTCAAAACCTAATGTCAAAACTTTCATATTGTTTCAGGCACCAGGCAGCGCATTCATACCCACTGTAATAACTTGCTGTGAGGGAGATTTTAGATTTTAGACTTCTATCAGCACCACTGTGAACAATTCTGACTTAGTAAGTTTCTACTATGGAACATTTCACATCAACCCACTCTGAATGACTTTGTTTACATCTTAACCATTTATTCAAAACATTTTGAACAAAACTATGAAATTCCCCTTTTAAAAACATGCTTACAATGAATAGACTGTTCACAGACTAGCTGTGTACAGCTTTTAACTCAGATGTAGCCCTGAGTGTCTGAAGTTTTGTCACTGTTACCTTTTTTCTGGTCGTTGTTTTTTCATTGTTTCTCTTGTTTTTGCGTCATCTAGCTGGGATCTTGTTTTTCAGTGTGTTAAAATAGATTTGCCCGTGTTTGTGCCCATGCTTGACCACCTGTTTTTGAAGCCCTAAAAAGCTACTCTGCGCATGTCTGCCTCTGTCTCCTATTACTTCCATGATTAATGTGCTGCTCATTTTCACTGTGGGTGGGTTTGGCGATTAGGGTTTATCAAGTAATATGAGACACTTGAACAAACCTGCTTATTCCAATTTCAGCTGATGATTTCTAGTCTATTCTATGTAAATGAACAAAAGGAAATCATGTCAATAGATTTTTCAGTTTAATCTGTCAGGACCTATGACATTCTTTAAATAGTAAAGACACATTCAGGGACTTTTATTTTTTAAAAAAGTAGAGAAAAAAACATTGAACAAACACATATGAAAATGTACCCACAAAACAATTGTTTATTTTATTTTATTTTATTATAAATAATAAAATGTAAAGAAAAAGAACATCCTAATTTGTTCAATTATATTAGAAAAATGTGTTTATGTATATGCATAATACAAGCTTCTTGTATTTTATTCACAATTTAGTTAATTTACACTTTTTTACAGTTTAATTATTTTATATAATTTTATTTAATTGAATTTAAAACAAGGACCCTTTTTCTTAGGAAGTATACACTCCCCCACATTGGACCCCCAGCCCTCAGACACAGTGACAGTTTGTAGCAGTGTGCTATTAGCCGTTTGTTGTGTACTTCCTTCAAAGTTCATAAAAAGGTGAACTGCTTGTAATGTGAAGGAGTAATAGAGTATGCGAGCGTCTATGAAATCTGTTTTAATCTGATCACATATAAACCCACTCAGCCAAAGATGGCCTGCTTGACAGGATCATTACATACATACCATGAAGGTCACCTAACCAACAAATGTCAGGTTTCAAACTCTTTCTTTTTCTTTTTTTTCTGAGATGGGGGGAGGGGGGTACTTAATCCAATAACATGATGAAGTCAGGGCCTGTATAAACAGCACTGATCCACAATCACCCCTCATAATTACATCCATTCATATACTGTAATTACATTCATTAGAGTATGAAAGGCAAATTACGCACATTCAAACATTTGATATACAGTATATGTCTGATGATCTCCATGAATGAATGAATGAATGTGTGTGTGTGAGGAAGTCTAAGCATTACATGATTCATTATAATAAAATCAACGGCATAGTCTAATGACATCTGATAAGCTGTGATCAGAGACTGTATATGAGTATATAGCATGTAGTACTATGGAACATCAGTTAATAAGTGAGAGTATAATATGGGACGTAAGGTACTGTGCAAAAGTCAGAGACCACCCTTTATTTGTTTAATTCAGCCAAAATAATTGATCCAGTCAAAATGACTCATAAGTGCAAGTTATTTATCATCAGGAAAAAGCAGGAAACATAACAGTTGATTACACAGGAGCTTCAATTATTAAATTAATTATTTAATTTTTTACATTGTTTAGTGAGTCCATTCTTTTCCTTTATTACAGCTTCCGTTCTTTATGGGAGACTGGCTTTCAGTTTTCCAAAGAAATCTACAGGGATATTTTTCCATGCATCTAAAGTTCAGTCTTAGAATTTGGTTGCATTTTCTCACGATCCATAATCCCAAACACATACACTGATGTTGAGGTCTGGACTCTGGGGTGGTCAGTCCATTGTTCTCACCATTAGCTTCTTTGTTTGATTTGCAGTTGTTCTTCTTTTTTGTCTATTTTCTTTTCTCAGCTTATTGACAGCTACATGTCCTTTCAGACCCACAGTGTTGAGCTGTTGTCTCACAGTGGAACGATGACAGAAACACCTGTGGATGTTTTCAGATCTGAAGCAAGAGTGGACCTCTCCTATATCTCAAGGATGAAAGTACTGTTTATCTGATGGTGACAATTTTGGTGGTCTACACTCCTAAAAAAGATGTTTTTTCAAAGGTTCTGTAGTAAACAAACTGGTCCTATATAGAACCATGAACACTCAGGGAACCATTTGCATGCTTAAATGTTTCTTGGCATGGTGAAATCGTTCTTCAGATTGATAAAGAATGCATTGTATAGGGTTCTATATAAAACCCATGTAAAAATTGTTCTACACATCACTGAAAGAGGGTTCTTCTGTTGTTATGATGTTGAATTTCTATATAGAGCCATATACAATACATTCTCCATCAATTAGAAGAACTCCAGTTTGAAAACTCCTTTTTTTCCCTTATTTTCCTTTGACTTTTCTCTTCCTTATGCAAGTTGATTGTAATATCTGAACCTCCTCAGAAATATCTGAAAACTAAATATCTTTTACTTAATGGCTATTTAGACTGGAACTTTTAAAAATAAGGTGGTCTCTGACTGTGTCATGTCATAGGTTCTGAATGAGAACCATTCTTTTATTCAGTTACGCACTTTAACTATTCTATTTTCAGAAATCCTTTTGTTCAGTATGTAAGAATACAATAGTGTCGATCAGCTGTAAATTAAATAAGCAAGAGTCTCTTAAAGTGTCAATTATTACCCAAAGGCCTCTAAAACCTGAATCTACTCCACCAAATCAGTTAGTTATAAGTGCTTTGACATGCTGTCCGCCTGTAAGCCCTTTGTTTCTGTTTACACTGATATTGGTGTTCATAACAAGTGCAGGTGAGACTTTTGTATTTAGTCTCCAAAAAATGAATTAGTATTGATCAGAGCAGGTACAATATCTTATATTATACACAGCATTCATTCCCACAAATCCCTGAATCATTACGGCAGATCAATAACACTGTAATTGATACTTCACTGTTCAGTGCCGCTTATTTTAGATTACTTGCACCCATTGTCAGATTTTCATAAGGGTTTTTAATGGCCCTACTAATAATCAGGTTATTTAGGTAAGTGCTTATTTAAGACTTTTGCCATTTACTATTTATACATTTATCCTTTGCAACTCTACACTGTAAACTTAAATTAGTTAACTTCACTTTAAAAACACACAAAGGTTCGCCTTGAAAAAAATTAGTAAATTTACTTAACAGGTTCAAGCTTAGATTGAGTTATAGTTACTTAATTTCAGTGATCCACAGTTCTGTAACAAGTATGGTTAACTCAAACTGCCCATTAAGCCTAACATTTTCCATTTTGTTAGCATTTATGTTGATAGGCTGAACTCAAACCTGCACACAAAACATCATCATGGTGAGAATAACAACATGTAAAATGCATCCAAACTTCACATTTAGCATGAGAACATGCTGTGACACCAAAATAATGCTTTGCAAAGAGAATTATATATACATATTAGAAAAAGGAGTGTTAATTAACAGAATCTAACAAAACTGCTAAGAATACTGGGAAGCTTTTCGGGCAAAAGACTCTTCAGTCTGTAGCACTTATCTAAATAAAGTGATCTGACTAGATTTATCTAAGTAACTAAGAAATACAAGTACAAGAAATAGTATATCAGTGCTGTCAGAACAAAACCTTCAAAATGCAAAATGGTAAATTTACAGGAGAATGAAAAAACCTTCCTTCCTTTGAATGGAAACAGGACTTTTTCCAAGCATTTTAGGAGCATTCATATTGGTCCCCTCATCAAGAAATTTCAACACAAGGTAAAGCTGCTATACCACAGCTGGTATTTACAAATTAAGTCAAAAAATGACAAAACAACAAAAAAATCATGGTTTTGTCTCGACAACAGTGAAATACTAGATTTATATTGGTAAATGCAGAAAATAAGTAAACAAAATTAATAACAAGTTAGTGAAATTATTATGTTTTAGCAGCAATTTGTTTTCATTGTGGTGGAAATTGACCAATTTAATTCAAATCGGTGGACGATATAACCATTACCGATCTCAACAATATCGTCGATGTCGACAGTATCGTTACATAAACTACTTGTATTATTATGGCCCGTCCCTGCTCAGCATCCAGAACCACGCAGGCAGCTCGAGGCGCCGCGCTATTGGCTGTCGCCCCGGCGTGGGCGGGGCTTACCCCGCTCGCGCCGCCACGAGACCGGCGGGCGCGAGCACCGCACTCTTCCCCCCCACACAGCGCTGCGAGAAGCCTCGCGCTCCGGCCGCCTCAACGAGTGGGACCTCAGGACTCGAGCCTTTGGACACGCGGGTATATCTGGAGGAGGAAAGCGTACACTCAGCGCGAGCTCTACCTGGATAACAACAAAGAAAGAAAAAAGCAATAACAAACCAGAAAAAAACAAAAAGAAAGAAAAGAAAAATCACGAGAAGAGCCCTCGTGAGCGAGCACGCGGAGCAGCGGAGAGCAGAGTCGAAGTGCGCTGGTCGGACAGGCGCGGGCGCTCGGAGGAAGGCGGGATGATCGTGAAGCAGCGCGTTCTCTTCGCCCTGTACAGCATGTGCGGGATCCTGCTGAAAGGTACAGGCATAAAAACTTCAGCGCGAGCCCTCGCGGTTTTATTCCTTATTTATTTATTTATTTATTTATGCTTTTTCAGCGCGAGAGCAGGGCACCGTTGCAGAAGTGCTCGTTGTGTTTATATAGGGTTTGTTTGTTGGTTTGGTCATGACTACCAGTAGCCACGGGGGCTTTAGTGCAGACGCAGACTGTTGACGTTTTGGAATTACACTGATGAAGCTGCACGGAGAACACACACACACACACACACACACACGTTTACAAAACACAAGCCTCCTGCGTGTGTGTCTCTGTGTGTGTATGTGTGTGTGTGTGCGTGCGCGCGCGCCTGTTAAGCCGCGTAGTCTGCCTCCTCGCCTGCGCTGACTGAGCGCCACCAATGCTGGCTTTGCATTTTAAGTCAGAGCGTTGAATCATTTCAGACCAACTGATGGAAACTTTGCACATTTGCCTCTGACTGATGTTTAAGCAGCTGCACGGCTTCACTGAGCCCCGTTCATTACATGCGTTTGCTCTTGCCTGCATGCATTAACAGAAATGGCACAGCTGGCATATCGTACGCTCAGCTTCAGCAGGTTAACGATACCTGTTTTGCTCATCGTGCTGCGGCAACAGTCTCTGATTACTGAGCCTGTGGAACTCCAGATCAGTATCTGTTGCTCTTTTATTCTCTGTTATCTGCGTGGAGCAACTTGATGCCCGCCCAGGTTAAACTGCATTAATGTACTGCTGATGTGAGGAATCTCAGGCTTGCTGCGTCTGCAGGCTGGATTCCTCACTTTTTTGCCTCGCGTCTCTCTGCGTTGTGGTATTTGCAGCAGTCCGCATGTTGGGGTCGTAGTAGCATCAGCTTTTCATTCTCCTTTTTTTTACGCACGAGAGGAATAAGAAAAGTGTGCTGCTCCTACCGAGAGCAGCGACGTCGAAGCGTTGAAGGAGTCAGTGCGCGAGATGCAGGCTCGTTCACCTTGTTTGTGTTTTCGTTCTTGAACTTATTGCAGTTTGCGGTGCGCGCGCGCGAGCGAGAGTGCTAGCGTTCCGCGCTGAACGGTAAACAAGAAACGATGAGGGTTAAGGGCGCGAGGTCAGCGCGCGCGCGCGCGCGCGCGAGTGTGTGTGTGTGTGTGTGTGTGTGAGAGAGAGAGAGAGAGGAAGGGTGTGTGTGAGAGTGTGTGTGTGCGTGTGTGTGTGTGTGAGAGAGAGAGAGAGAGAAAGAGGGAGAGAGAGAGAGAGTGTGTGTGCGTGCGTGTGTGTGTGTGTGTGTGAGAGAGAGAGAGAGAGAGAGAGAGAGAGAGCGAACATGTGTGACCCGAATGGGTGCTGCGTGCGCGCGCAAACGTTACCCTTAGCTTGTCCTCAGCTCGTGAGAGAAAAAAAAATAAATAAATAACCGAGCTTGTTGGCCTCGTGCGAGTCCTTGGGCTTGATCTCGCGCGCCCCTGTTCGAGACAGAGGCACCGCCCTGTTCCCCACCCATCCCCGGCCCAGACGATGCTAATGAGTAAAAACGGCGCGTGAAGCAAAGTGCTTGACTTGAACATGTGCTCGTGCCTCTAAGATCCAGCGTTTATCTGTTATGATTAGCCCAATGCACTCGAGATGCGCGCGAGCAGCCGCGTCTCTCATCTCCTTCAGATCAGTGTCAACATGACCCTGCCCTCCTGAACTGTTTACACATCAAACAGCTTCGCCTTACAGCTCCATCAGCGTGCTGTGTGCTCTGGACACACACTGGCGGTGCATGAAAAAATGACTAATGTGTGTGTGCGTCTGTGTGGGAGGGAAAAGGGATATGCACATACAAATGTATGTGTGTGTGTGTGTGTGTGGCTCCGCACGTCCGAGCCCCTTTTGACATCCTACCTGGCGCCGCATGTTGATGCTCCGTTTCCGAAGTGGTCCATTAATAATGAGAGATAATTAAGCACATTCCTCGAGGCAGGCGCTTTTAATGAGTTGCTGGAGCTGGAGCGATGTATTGATCTCCCGGAGCTTTCTCCATGCCCGTAAATCAGCCTGTCACTGTCTCCAGGGCAAGAGGGCAGGCGGCCGGGCCGTCCCGCGGCCCACGCTGGCACCTGTGCAGGATGTCAGCTTTGTGGATGCGCTTTTGTCGCTTGGTGTGCTGGAGCAGTAGTCAACAGGACGGGTAGCAGGAGCTGCTCTGCATCTACTTATCATTATCCAGCTAATTAAAGAGGAATTCCAGTCATTTTTAGATTTCTGCATAATTCAGTCATAACAAAGTCAATCAGAGTGGTTTGATGTGAAGTGGTTCATTGTAGAGATTTCTTCACAGTGGTGATAGGAACCTGGGGGCACGATGAGTACAACGCAAATATAGTCATTTTATTTACTCTACAAAATGATCAGGGAATGAACACGTGACTGCTGAGCTTTTATATGTAATGTTAGTCATAGTAAAATAGTGTGAAATCTGAAATCAGGGGTTTTCTTTAGAGACATGTACATATATAACATGATTGGATTTTAGAAATACATATTTTTAAGATTTAGCTTTATTTTATCATTGTAGCACTGGCTTATTGTAGAGAAACGTATACTAGATTTGTTTACAGTAGTGGTGATAGGAACCGGGAGTCATAATGTTCACAACACAAATACAGTAAATTTTATTTACTCTCCAAAATGATCAGAGAACGTGTCTTGTCAGTTTCACCGGGGACTATTTTGCTTTAGTACGCCCTGCATGTATCTTTCCAAGATCAATGGATTTTGAAAAAAAGCATGATTCAGACAACACCTTGACTCAAACCTATCATAAAACAATGTCTTAAGCATCAGGCAGCATATTCATATCCATTTAGGCATTAAAAGTTTAAATGTTTGGTTCCTATCACCACCACTGTGGAAAATTCTGACTGTTTCTGTAGAAGGGGAGATTCTCTTTAAAGCCACTCTTAATGACTTCTTAACCTTTAAATTCCAGCTTATTATTCATCTATTAATCTTAAGACTTGTTATTTTCTAACTACTGTGAATTACACAAGTACTATGAAGTAATGTAGTCATGTAGTTATGAGCATCATAGGGTTTAAAGTACTACTCCAGCATTTTAAACCACACCTCTGTCTGCTTCATCTGTACCATACGGTCAGTTCCCAAAGACAATAATTTTGTCACGTTTCCCTGAACTTCATAAATGAACAGGAAATTTGTTGACTCAAAACACATTCATAACAGAAGCCAATGGGCAGATACTGAGGCAGCTTAGACTGTCTGTGCTAATCAAGCACCCAACACAGATCAAACAGCAAAAGGGGCTCCTTTAAGTGGGTCAACAAGCCCTTCTTGACTCTGTTAGGGCATGGAAAACACTTGAACGTGCACAGCAGGGGGTATTCCAAAGACCTACTGCTGTGTCCAGAAGAAAGCTGCTGATGTTCAGTACAGTAGCCATGTTTCATCTGTATCGTGAGCTGCACCAGCCCACAGTACAGCAAACTGGCTGAAGTTCAGTTATGATCCTACGCCAAATCAGGATTATTATATGCAAGCTGTGTGATTCCATGCATGCTTTCCAACCATGACCAGGCATTTTATTTTTAATCTCAGTGCGGCGTTCGGCCACGCCGGCCAGTGGATACCAGCTGCCACCCGTCTATGCATTATTGATGCTGCCTGTATGGACAGACCCTCCTCTGTGATATAATATTCAGGAGCGGGCAGCGTGGTCCCACCCTGCTTCAGTGCAGAAGAGCGCAGGCTGCAGGCAGCAGCTGCTGAGCAGGGCGTTCATATGGAGAACATGTGGTAGACATGAGGGTATGAACAGCATGAAAGACAAGCAGAGGCTAAGCTGAGTCTTCTTCATTAGGTTCTTATTGATTGAGGCGACTAGGTAGTGGGTTCTAAGCGAGAGGGTGGTATTCTTTGTACTATTGGAAGCCAGCAGTCATTTTTAATCCCTTAAACCCCCAGGCTTATTACATACTTATTATAAAACATATGGACCAACAACTACCTGAGTTATTCATTAGGTATAGAAGTGTGTAATAAAAGTTTGAACCTGCCATCTGGTCCTGGCTATTTGAGGGGTTACACTGTAAGGTCCACTCTAGGATCCACACTTCAGTTCTTCAATCATGTAACTATATAACTTACATATTACTTTCATTAAAGTCATTAGAAAGTTTGTAGAACATAATAATAAGTGTAAAGATTAATAACTGAAGATTTAGCTTAGGGTTAAAGGGGTTAATGTTGAAAAACTGTTTTGCAATTAAGTCAATTTGCCAACCAATCTTTCAATACTAATGTCTACTTTTTCTTTTTCTACAAAGTATTCCATTGGTTTGCTGTAATTTCCTAACATATTATATGGGAAAAGCCTTAACAATATTTTTTGATAATAGCCCCTTACATTGACCAGTTTTTAATTATTTACAAACTCCCCTGTGTTTGTAAATAATAAAAACACACCTGATTCAGTTAATCAAACCTTCAATGTATGAATCAGATTGATATGATTAGAGCTGCAATAAAACTCTGCAGGAGAATCACCTGGAGCAAAACAAATTAAGAATCAGTTAATTAAACACTACCGCTGCCGACATTTAGTCAAAGCCTTTTGTTCTCTGCTCATAAACATATTACCGTCCGTTATACTATGCTATAAAACAAAGTGTTATGTTTAGGGATGTGACCCCTTATTATTGATAAACACCATGAAATTGGTTCAGTATTTATTATTATACAGAATATGTATGGGCATTCTGAAATTCCGATCCATGATCTGAAACTCCATTTCATTTAAAATATTCTCGCAGTTCGTGTGATGTCACACTGTAGACTCGACACCATTTTAAGGGACTGAATCAGGCAGTGACTGCGCTGCATGACGCCTTCAATTTACTGTGCTTTATGAATGATTCACCTGCGAGATGCAACAGAAGCCGAGAGTGACGAGAGACTACACAGACCTTTAATTCAGTGTTTTCAGACGCTTGGAGTCCGTGCACTGTATAGTTTAGTGTTTT